GTACCCCAGTTAGTCATGCTGTCCCCCAGCTTACGTTCTTCAAAGGAAAATACCCTGCAATTTTCTTAGAATCTCTAGATTTATATAATAGAATAGTAAATGTGACACTACCTAAAAGTAAGGTAGAAAGACGCACGTTTTTAATATTACATGTCCGAAAATAGAGACAAACAAAACGAAATACAAATTTTACATATGATGAACAACAAATTTGTAAAAGGGTCACGCCTGTCGTTCTGGAAGTTTTGCGAGATATCCATCTCTATCCAGTAACGACATACAAAGAGAAATTTTCACTGGATAACTATCAGCATACTATACAGTCAAGCGATGAGACAGCATAATCAAGCTACACAGCTTGCCCAGACCAAATATTTGCTTATATTATAGAGAACATCGAAATGAATAAGGCTGCCGAGAATGCTACTTATATATCAATCCCTTTCGTACACAGCGTTCTATTCTGGATGATCAGGCTTTTCTGTACCGTAATAACACAGTACATTTGAGAGAATGCATGTTATATTTACACTCAAAGTGAGTGATGAGGCACTGTCAACTTTGCGATTATTTTAAATCCTATATATATATATATATATATATAACAAATCCTACTGGGACTTATCATGGTTCCCATGATTGTTCATCTGCTTTCTAGATTGCTACAATGAAGGTAATTAGCACCGGTTACTTACTGTTATGTATTAGAATTTATAGAAGCATTATTTACTATAAAGTGCCCTTCGCCAGATCATTTGTTCATCTTTACGTCGCGATGGCCTTCTATTACCGTTGGACGTTCCTTGGCTTAACGCCTTAATTCACAATACTCATCTATGATCAATAACTAACATGAAATAAGGGTAGAACATATTTCTCTCCGAATATCAGTACTTCATCTGTAAGCGGTCGCTTATACGCACAATGGATCCTAGTCCTACACTACGATTGCTCTGTACACCCATGTATGATGCCCACTCTTGTATATGAATCAGCGCAGCAGGAGAGTGCGTGCTGAAAATGTGAGATGGGCTACAGTGATGCCAGTCGTCAAGTGTTACATCATATCAAGTATTAACTAAAAACATAGACAATATGCTTAAATGAGGCATATGTGCCTTTACAATTTCTTTTTAGTCTAACTGAGGAGGTACTTTCTTAGCGCAAGTAGCATATGCAAACGCTCACCGAAATAATATCATCTTAATGTGAAAATGCCATTAACATGTCCTAGTTAACGTTGTCCACTCACTAATGATATTGCTGAGCTGGTGATATCCTAACAAGACGCTGTTATTTAAATAGGTCCGCAGTTCTCACCAGAAACTTTTTATAGGTGAAAAATCTGTTCGCTCAATGACGAAATGAATCACACAAAGCTATCGCTAGACGTTAAATGTAGGTAACAATCTATCGACGTTCTGGATCAGCGACTGATTCATGAAGGAATATTACGGAAGCTTCGCTATAATGACTTGACCGTTTTTCACTATATATAACTATTACACGCTAATTAATTAATTAATTAATGTATTTTATTGTACCACAACCCGAAACCGATTGATGCTAACGAACCAGTATTCGACAGTCGTCCCACCCCATCTTTTGCTGTATAACAAATTGCTCGAAATCCCTTACACAAAGATTAGCAAAGAAGGGACAAAAGCGAAATCGATAGAGCGGACACTTCAAAGTCACCGCCTATGATTCCAACAGAGAGTATTTGGCAATTCATATCTGTCGTCTACTCTTAATCGGACTAATAGTACGACTAGTTCGATTTTTTATTTATTGGTTAAACAGGATTTCACCTATTATTTAAAAGCTATCGAAAGCCATTGTGTTTTTGGCTGTATTTCTCTATAAAGGCTCTATATCAAATAGAAAGTGATGTGTGAAGGATCATATATGTAACATTTGTTTACAGTTAATAGAATTAATTGGTAATCAACAATATTTAAAGGATCCGTAACGAAATAGCAGTACATTTTCCTTCCAAAAGATAAACATACTATGGTAATTTATATAGAAATTAATGCTAGTCGTATAGCAATAGTCATAAGAACAGTGAAGCGATGGTTCGAAGTGTGGATCAGTATGACACGTCTTAACTGTAGTGAGATGTTCTAGGTTCTACATACCAAACTCGGTACGATTTGCGTTTTATGCATATTTAGCAGTTCAATAGAATTAATCACTCAGCTGGACACGAATGGCGGCCAAACCCCACTAAAAATGCAGCGAAGTTTTTTTTTAGGCTGAAATCACTTTGCTTGTAAGAAGCTTTCAAGGAATACGTTCCGCGTCGTATCCTAAATTCGCGACACCACTTAACTAGAATATGTAAGTTCCACTATTTCACCTGTTGCACCATAACTACTTGATGAGATTCGTAATTACATATCGGCGTAGTATCGTATACATTATTATATCACACATCAGTAATCGCACATTATGCGCACATCCTGTAAGCGATCGGTAGCACGAGTACATTTTCATGTGACCAGACAGGGTCACAGGGTTTGCCTGTTCAGCATAGCTCGCTTTAAACAAGTTTTGTTACATACACACACACATATAAAAGCTGCGTTTTTTGAGTATGATGATTACCCAAACATGCACGAAGCAAATTCCGCTTTGTCATACTTCTCAAAAAACACATTATGAATGCGAGCCTTCATAGTAGACCAAGAAATTTATATTGGTGGGTGGAGTGGAATACTCGAAATCAAGCTGGTTTCGCCTAGAATAGCTATGGATACTCAAAAAAACTAAGAAAATCAGTACATTTCTCGATTGCAGGCTGCAAATTCTACGATATTCATTTTCTTTAGCTTTTTAAAATGTCGGTCTAAAGTATCGAAGCTTCACGTTTTTCCGCATGTACACCCAACACATATTTACTGCATGCCATTCAGTTTGCGAAATTTTACATCACAGCGTCTGCTGACTTAGTTGCCGAAAACCCAATGAAAACTTTTTGCACTCAGGAAGCTCAGCAAAACCCCCGAGTTCGGCCAATTTCAAGGCAAGTCACACCATCCCATGAAGTTTGAATGCCGCCATCGGCGTCTAAATCTGTCCTCAAAGGATTCTTCCTACGAGAATGCAAGCACGACGGACTCGAGTTCCAATGTCCTTGATTTGTTTACGATATCCATAGCCGTACATATCTGTATAATCAGAAATATTTAGCTGAGCTCAGGAAACCTACGTTACAGAAAAAAAATGTAAATTCGGTTGGCTATATTCGAAATTTAATCAGCTGTTTCATTAAGCTCTTAAAAAAAAAAAAGCTAAATATCGTAGTAATGATTCTATGTGTAGTATAAGATTTCGCAATAGAGAACAATGTATTTAAAGTATTTATTCTATTAATAAATCATAACATCTTTTCTATTTGAGCGAGCAATCGCAAGATATAGACACGATATTGTCATATAGCGCTATTTAAAAATTCTACCGTGTAATTACCTAACGCTTGGTGTGGTAATATAGAAGTAATTATAACAAGGTAGCAAATCGTTGTTCAACTGGCAAGACACTTGTTCATTATATCTACAAAGTATTACCGTCGAATCGGCCACTGTCATTTGTCACTTTAATCATAACGACACCACGAATAAGTGATAAGTTTCTATTGAGACAGATTAGATGTCAAAAAATATCCGCTTGTTAGAACGTAAATTCTAGCCGCCATATTTCGTGCAGAATTTGTAGAAGTGAAGTCGACCAATTACTTTTTTTTTTTTCTATTAGCGATTTGTCTGTGAAACGCGTGATTATATTATGCCGATAAACATATTGGCATACAAACCGCTTGATCAAAAGCTAACATTTAAACTATTTATGCACCACTGTACGGACGTGGGCTAAACGCTGGGTAAACTAAGAATTGAGCTCATGCGTCCCAAGTAATTGCCTGGCGTGACATTTCAAACGTCACTGCCAAGGCTCTAATTTTTCAATTCATCGATTCAAATCTTTTTATTTTTAATGTCACGAAATATACAGGCAATAAGTCTACCAACAAAAATATACAAAGACAATCTAGAATCGCTTTCAGAAAAATAATTTCAACTTAACGACTACCAAATGAAATTGCTATCTCATATATATAAAATCCCATCGGAACGCACATACCGTAACGCCTGTACGAGTGATTAATTTCCATATTGGATTTTTCAAACAAAACAACTTAGCCATCCATTTCTGGAGTATCCATAATTTAGATACTTGAATTTGTTTTATGTAATTGCATTGCTTTTTAGTGTTCTGGGAAAGTAGTTTGCGAAAGAAATCTTTCTTGTTTTTGACTGTGTATATCGATAAAGCGTTTTTTTTTTATAAATCCGATACAATATTCATGTGAATTGGGAACTGACATTTATACACCAAATTGAAATTTCTCTTTCCAAAACATCTAGTATACGACCATTGGGATAAAGGGAAAGATACATCTTTGCGGGTGCGCCTTTAGTCGGTCGGCTAACCTCTCGACTCCCCATACGGAGGTGCCACAAAGTTTCCGGCTGATGTCGCTACTGTCGTCAACTCACGTCTCCTCGCAAACCACGTAGAGCCGATCTCCTACCATCAGCTCGGTCCGTGTAGCTGCTTTTTTTTTGTGATAGCGGCGATATTGATGTTCGTAATTTGTGGGAATTAGGTAGGGAATTAGAAAGAGAAAGAAAAATGGCACGCTACTGGTGGATTATAACTCACGTTATATCACGATATCGTACGTTTGGTACGCAAAATGTGTGCGAATAATATTTTAGATTTGGATTCAGCCATCATATGATTTCGCGTGACAAAGTGCTTGCTTTGTTGTAGTAAATAACACATAACTAATAATCGTTTAGTTGCCATTATCTTACACCAAGTCACTTCGGAAAACAGGATACGTTCAGAGACATAAATTCATTTTGATACGCTTGAAACATAGGAAAATATAATTTATTATTAGAGGTGTAACATCTCTTGCGCGAAAGGTGAACCTTAATTTCGACATCACGAAGCTAACATCCGCACCCTTGCTCTCACTCAAACACATACGGTGTTGTAAAAACTAGCCTGACTTGCCCTCGATGCTATTTTCCTTCTAGGGACTGTTAGCAGGCTCCGCGACTGTGACGTACACTATCCACGCCAACCCCCTCCTATGCAGAATCCGTCATAGTGAACATTCGCAAAAGCGTCGGCTAAGCTACTGTCACTTCTGGATGCTGTTTGTAGTAATAATAGTATAATTGACCGACGAAGCAGGCTGATTTCACTGGTGCTATTGATAATCCACTGTGTTATATCATCAACTGTACGAGTGTGCCTCACAACACTTTCACTCAAACGACCATCTCTTCAGCCATGGCGGACCGATTTCCATGATCCAAATGAATTACTGTTTAATACATATGCTTTTTATTCTCTTCGTATTATCATCACCAAGCACAAACAAACTGCGCCCGCTAGGCTTGCCGTTCCCACCCGTGTGCGCTCCACGCCGCAGTCCGTCAGTGTATTATTACCTCTACTACAGATGACTGCTCGGAGCGCCCACCTTTACTGAACGCCATGTCTCTCGGCGGCCGGGAGTGTACCCGAGTCCCACACGCACACAACATCGACGCTTTCGAGTGCCGCTTAGTGCTGCACTGACTCGATCCAACCGTCCGTATACAGTCTCTAGCTTACGCTGAACATAATCGTCATCTGCGCTGTTTCCAGATTTCACTGTTCCTGTACCGGCATCACCTGGAATTGGGCAAATATGGGCTTCTTCCTTAAACAGTTGATGGATTCAGAGCTAACTTTGCCTGTTCGATTTGACACTTCGGATGGGTTCTCGCCTTGGGAGAGAGCCGTGTGCTGATCTGATCGGGTTCTGCCTGCTGTTGCAGCTGTTGGTACTGCTGCTGGTGCTCTTTGCTGTCTGCGTTCTCTCGAATATCGTCGCATCACCACAGTACGGCGTCTTGGTTTTCACACACCACTAAAACAGTCGAGGCCCCTGTCGCTTGATGGGGGCCGTTGTCTAAGGATTACCTCGTTGGGAGTCTTCATCACGGACGTACGTACGGCAAATACAAAACAACTTGGCCCTTCACCAAGTCGCCGACCCTGAGAAGAATGAGGGGCTGAGAAAGGACTCCTATATGGCAGTGGGCTTTACTATGAGACTATATACTGTTGTCGTCTCGCACCCCCACCCAGCCGGCCGCGATCAAATAATGGCTGCTGCTGACACCGCAATATTCTACATAAGTAAGTGCCATTAAAGTGCTCCGATGACCTAACTCGCTCATTTACACACAGCTGTTGCTGCTTTAACTGGCAGTATTGTGACTGATCGTCTCCTGTATGAAAACAACGGTTGTGGTGGGCTCTTTCCTGTCTCTTTATTCAGCTGTCTGTGATAGCAGCCAGTCGCTACTGGTCAGCCGCTGCGCTTGGGAGACGAACTGTAGCAACAAACAATCGAGCAGACGATGCCTTTAGCGAAATCGAAACTGGGATCAGAGTTGAAATCTGTGCCCACCCGGAAGTAGACTCATAAAAACTTCGTTTCGCGCAGAGCTGAGCGCTACTTGTTTACTTGATCGTAGACTAGATAATGACAGCTGGAGCGTATCGCAATTACACGCCACCTGTACTGAATTTTCAAACGATTCGACCATAACCGCTATTCAAGTAACCTTCCTGTATTGTACACACGTGTAGAGGTTTCCTGGTGTGATAGTTTTTGGGCAAGCGTCAATAATGACTGTAATTTTGTAAACAGGAACATAACTTGAGCGCAACTCTTAAAAGAGATACTCAAGTGCGACATATTATGGGCGGAGAACGCTATTATAGTTCATAGTAAAGCTGGATCTTAGCAAAAATTAACCACGGAAAACGCGTCACAGTAGAATCACTTCCGGGTGACCCCTAGGGGGCTGGTTGGTGATCTGACCAAACACCAGAACGTTCTGTTTTGACTGGTCGGTGCCATGTGCTTGACCGAATGTTAAAGGATGTGCTAGTTAGTGCAATCACTCTTTCGACGTTTATATGATTGTTTTTACGATGAAACTATGAGTGACATCAACTCTAGGAATGTGCGAAAGTTTTTCACTTCATTATAATATCAAATAATTTTGATCAGCTAGTAACCGATCAGTGCGCGGGGTGATGCATACGTCGATCTGCGATCTCGACTATAGATCAGATGAGTGCGACGAGCAAACTGCCCACGAATTATACATTTCTGCATTCTTCAATAACTTTAATTCGGCGGGGCAGAACCCGGAAGATGGAAGAGACAACGTTACCCCAATCTCAAACTGGTCTTATAAAAATGGTGTTGCTCTATCGTCCACTCGCGCCGCAACTAAAAGCAAGCAGTCATTGAAGCGCAAATCGACTCCCGCCAAATTGGGCCAGTTCTTGTTAACCACTAATAATCGGATGAAACGGAAAACCACACAGTGCGCGGATTCACAGGTGCCTAATGTGAAACGACGGCGAACAAGTGCAAGGAAGTTACAAATGCAGGACACCCCAAGGGAGTTTGACTCTGAAGATGAAGGTATCGCTGCCAAATATGACAAGAAATCTAACAAAGAGCAATCTGGTAAGAAATTAGCTTCAAAGCTGAGCATTTGGGATGATGCCGTCAAGGCAAGTACAGATTTGCAACGCTCTGGCTCAAATACTCGGGTTGTTGCTGCTCAAGCTACCGAACGATTCGCAAGTAATTCAACATATCGACAATTCTTTCAAGGTAACTGGAACGTATTGCAGTTTCATTAAGTATCTGGCTCAGATAGCATAAGTACAAAAGAAAAACAATTTTGTCGGATTATCTGTAATATATTATTTGCTCATCTATAATATAGCATAATAAAATAATGGCTGTTTACCACAGTATACGTTGGGCTAAAAGGAACCTTTATTTTTCTCGAAAGCTAAGAATGGAAACTAAATTTAACCCAAGGATATAACGGCAGATTTAATTTCGATAAAACAGTAGGTTTATTCAATAAGTTATGTCAGTGCCGTCAGATGCTGCTAAGCAAATATATAACAGCATCTGCACAATTTCATCCAAATACTCTATAGTGTGGCGCAATCGAACGCTCTTTGTTGAAGTTGTCACTGCTCGAGTAAATTTGAAGACTCAAAATGGTCCCTTTTATTTTAATGTTGTTTACGTTTTCAGACTCTGACCAAGAGAGCACAGATCGTTCCAAAATACTTTCACTTAATAGATCAACCGTTTCCAAGACAAGCCGATATTACGTGCCATTGAATCAAATAGGCAATGATGCGCCTCGAGTAAGTACAATAAGAATAACAATTAGCATAAGAACTAACGTAGGCGAATCTATGAACAGTTGAAATTAATATCGGAAGATAAAGTCAACATAACGTCTATGCAAAGTGTTATGTAGTGCATGCGCATCTACCAATCGATTTTGCTTAGTGATACGTTTATCTTACTAGCTTTAAATTTTGCATTTTTACAGGGTAGAAAGCGGACTTACGATAAGTGTGCGCAAGACCCGTGGTACATCATCGACGAAGACAGGCAAGTTTTTCAAACTGTCAGGTCAATAGATGTCGCTACTGCCATCCCAGTAATAAACAGCTGAAATTTTGAACGATATTTAAAAGTTTGCGTTATATATGCGTTTAAACAAATTGCTAAATTCGGAATCTATAAGTACAACTAATTTGCAATTTTAGCGTAGAAGAAGACCTTTCATAAGAGTCATCATTTCCAGAGGGGTGGTAGAACTGTAAAAAAATAAAAGAAAAATCAGAGCTCTGTGTGAGTGAACTGTTCTATATGGGCAATATTCGTTTCGGTTCATACAATAATAAAAATGTGTATTATAAACCCTAAGTAGGAACTGCGGCCTTCACTCGAAAAGTCAATAATATCTGTTTTAATTTTATCCATGAAGGTGTTGGATATTAAACTTGACGCAAGAATCGCACAGCTACAACGAATCGCTTTTACCTTATAGTGTAATTTAAAAAAGAACATTGGTCTTCAAATTGTCACCTTAGGATTGATTAAATCGAGTGCCTATTTTGTTAACTGTTTTGATGATGCTTTCTTATTTTCTATACAATAGGTGCGTGCTTAACGCGGCGCGTAAGAAATTTCGATTTATGAGCGAGTTAGAATGTGCAAATTGCCGTCAACCTGGCCACACAAAATATAGATGCACGCAGCGAATTCGAAACACTTGTTTCTGTTGTGGCGAGTCTCACAGAATTACCAGGTGAGCATAATATCAGCTATATGCAACAATCCAGGAAAAATTAGTTCGATCACATTTCTGTGTCCTTACTTAAAGACATATATATATTTAATAGTCGGTTTTGATTATTCTTTACTCATGTGAATATACGTTTATCGTTTAGATGCATATTGCATCTAGCGTATTTTTCCGACGAGAGAACTATTGTTAGCAATCCCACTAAGATTATAGGTAAGGAATGATTTTCAAGTTCCTTCCTTCACAAAATCCTTGACAAAATGATGACAACTAATAAATGTTCACATGATTTCGTATTTTATTTTCTCTCACTTTGAGACGCAGGTGCAAACAGCTTGTGTGTTCTGCCTGCAAACTCGCTGGACATCTATCAGAGCAATGTCCTTTGGCCGAACAACTTCTTACTACACGATGTCTTGACTGCAAACAATTAGGTCACGGAAGGCACGCGGAGCTCGGAAGTAGTTGTCCAGACTACTGGAGAAGGTTGAAGTTATTTCATTTAAAGGGGACGTGTGTTACGGTGATTGTAGTTGCTTTATTGTAATCTTAAAATAGCTTAACTAAGATTAGCAGCTATCCACCCTTGACTATTCGAGACGTATTAGCTGTACTGTTTTACTGCGGATGGCGTAATTTCCTCAAGTTGCAAGTTTTAAAACTCGAGTCAGGGCACAAAATATATTTAGAAAAATCATATACTTGATTGTACGTCGTTATTCGATTGTTTTATCTGAGAAATTATTTGATTGAGGTTTAGATTATTATGAGCATTACGCGTGGATCTCTGGTATCACTTAGTTGATTTCTTTTATCATTTCGCTGTTTATTATGAATGAATTGTCTTGGATATACAGGTATCATCGAACAACAAAAGCGGGACCCCCAGTTGTTCCCAATAGGCGAGTCACTCTTCCCACAGATCGTGTTTTTTGTCCGAATTGTGGTTCAAAAGGGCACACCGCGACAGCATGTCCTTCATGGAAAAAGGACCGCCCGAAAGCTCCTGTGCGCGAAGTAATCGATTACAAGAATCCGCCAAGAACAAGCCATCGACCAGGCCCGTGGCCTATAGGTGGAGAGATATTAATACCGTCCAAGTTACCGAAAAAGAACCGCCAAAAAAAAAACACAAGCCCTCAGAAAGCTAAAACCAAACAAGCAATTCAGGGCATGCCATCATTTCAAAAGGCCGAAAAGCGTACTTGGAGAGAAGGCAAAATTCGATTTTATAATCAGCATTACGACAAATACATAACAGAAAGGCCAATAAATCGTCGTAAGGAGCGACGGCGTCTGGAGAAAATGATAAACAGAAACGAGTTTTTGGACGATAGCCGATTTCAATGTCGTATGAAATTCCAGAAAGCTCGGAAAAACTTTTTGCCGTTGTGACGCTGAAATGCACAAATGAAAATTATAATAATGTATATGAAACATGTTTAATACGTTGCAGTAGTTTCCTTAACCATAACAGCCATTGTTAATGCTCACGGTGATAACTGTTTAGCAGGTTATACGCACGGGATTGGCAACGTAAGCGTAACACGGTCATTGTCAAGGGTTAATAACAAAGACTCAATTGCAAATTATGAATCATGTTTTTTTAATGTAATATTTTAGAACTACGGTGTGTTTACGTATCGATAGTTTCTCTTTAGTTCTGCCTGAAAGCTTCTAGGCTACGTATTAAAAACATCTCAATATATACTATATTCAAAATGTTAATTATCTAACTCTAAAAATGTTTGCGATTACTTTCAAGTTGTAGATTCAAATATGTCTCATGAGCATGACCACAACTAGATATGGCGTTCACCACTCATGCTCTCCTGTAGAGATTCAACAATGAAAACAGGTTTTCGATCACAACGCTATATTATTACTTTAGATTCATGTTAGCTGTCTTAAAGACAGCTATAAAAGCGTAAAGGAGTCCTTACGACAGCCACGCCGTTATCCTTATTTTAAGAGCTGTATGTTGAACACAAGCGTTAGACGTTAGCTGTCGTTGTAAATATTTTAGTTCCCCCCAACCAACCAAGTTCGAGAAGCTTTTATAAGGCTGAAAGAAAAGAAAATGTAAAACTTGCTGAGGCGTTAAGAAGGCTGGAACCACGAAGCACTTCTGTACCAGAAGCGTGTTCGAGTCTCGACATCTTACTTGGGTGAGAAATTCGTGCGCATGTACAACTCATTAATTTATTGACACACGATACTTATGAATTAGGGCGGGGGCAAATAACGATAAAACAAGGGAATAACCTAAAACATGAAAAGGCCAAATGCAATGGTGTAGAGCTTGTGAACTTTTGTACAAAGACTGGCACCACCTGAGGCTTTATCAGGTCGTGAGAGACTTGACAAGGAAGAAAGAGATATTTTCTGGGGGAAAATGCTACCAGTGCCAGGAGGCCATAATGTTCATCGTTAACAATTAGGGTTTCAGCTGGCCTGTTTGTTATCGTTAGGTATTCACGTTACGGTATTAAGTTGTAGTTCTGTTCGTCGTTTTGAGATACATAGTAAGTTTTTGGCTTGCTTATCATTACTGTTATCTTGTATGCTCTTAAACTTAGTGGGTTGAAGATCCCTTACGATCACTAGGCCTCGAACAGTGCCGAAGATACCCTCGTCACTTATATTCATGATGATCGAAATGTTTAAGATAGAACTGCCTTTGTTTTTTTTTTTTAAGATTTGTCTGAGTAAAAAAGATTTGGGTTTATACGCAGAGTAGATAGATGGCTTAGTTATTGATCTTTTCAATCCCAACAGAGGACCTTGTGATACTATCGAATCAATGGGACTATTTCTGTGACTATCTTTGAATGAGGATGCCCCTAACCAGAATTTTGACAGGATAATGAGTACGCTTTCTTGCGAAATAGACACGTTGTGAAATTATTGTATTAGATAGCTTTGCGACAGCGGAAATAACAAAAGTTTCTGATTTAGACATGCCATAGCGATCCTCTAAAATTAACTTGAGTCGAAATTTCGCTAAAACAAACGTGCTTCTTCAGCATACAGTCAGGGCTCTTCTTTCCCATCGGTAAATTTCAAAACTGTACCGCGATACAGGAATAAATTTAAAACCGAGAAAGATTTAGACTATTAGATTCTGTAGGAAGGAACTGCACCCTTTATCTCAGGGCGGAAATAAAAATGAAACGTTTTCGTACAAAAAGGTAAAGTTCGTCAGCTTCAAATTAACTCAGAAGTCTAATTCGCGAAGTTGTGTGTAGGTATCAATTATTAATTTTGACCATGTGTTTCGCTAGTACTGAATTATAAATCAATTTTCATATGCCTTTATTTAAAGAGAGAATACATACTGGAGAAGTTGCTGGTTCTGAATTAGTTAAAAACTTCCTGATTTTGATTTGTTGGCAATGTGAGAGGGTAAGGGCATTGGCCAGTTTAACTTAATACTGTCTCATAGTAAAGGAAAGGAGAAATTGCTTTCAGAGTTCTTTCAGGTGGAAAGTCACGCCTTGAAAATATAATAAAATCTTAACTCATGCTCCACTTAGTACACTGAGAGACTCCTCCACAAAATAACGGACGAGTGGCTGGTAGGCTACACTGGCTGATGAATAGGACTTAACAAAGCAAGCGCTGTGAGGTCTAAAAAAATACAGCAAAAATAGTTTTCAAGACCACTTCAGTCTATCGAGTATCGTAATATATCATCGTACTATTTGTCATCCTTTTGTCTTTTTATACAGAAACAGCACCAAATTCAACACCGTGCCAGCCGAGTCAAAGATGCTTACATTTCATTGATAAACGCAGCGGGCTTTTTCGCGAGCGTGTACTCTTGTCGTCGAATTAAAAATGTACTAATACTAAGTCAGTAATGGTTCCCACTATGAATATAGCCGTGAATAAAACTTTGGGGAACACAAGCTGTAGTGCCCAAAGTTCATTGGAATTACTGGTTTCATAGCATTTATGAACTGAAGCCGGCTTTTAGTTCTTCAAACATTTTTTTCACCATCGCATTGCACAGCCTCGCATATGGATTCGTAGGTTCAGCTTCTATTTGTGCACGTGCAAATCTCGAGCCCATCGTTGCAGCTCGTTCTAGAAAGGCTTTGGCAGTTTCACGACGTCCTGAAACACGTTCAATAAGAGCCTTCTGGGTCAATGCCTGACGTTGCGCTCTCCGGTTGACCCCCAGTGCTAAGACGGCGTCGAGGTCCTCTGTTGCATCTACAAGGTAAAGGTACTGACTTGATATGGCTGATATGAAAAATAGGTATTTTATAAAATGTCTTTCGTTCTTGCTAGAAGAAATTACGAATTCGAAAAGAAATTCGATTTGGGAGGTTGTCAAAATATGGCCAAAATAAATTATTTTGGCAACAAGAAATACCGTTTTGTGCAGGTCCACTTATGTACAAAAAAAATCTACACGCATAAAATTAGGTAACATAATATAGGTACGAATCGAGAAGCACTGGCAGGCAGGCTTGCAGCAGAGCAGCGCTTCTCTAACGCTGTCTCTTGTAGAAAAGCCGTTGGGCACGCAAATTAGAAATTTGCTCAGACAACAATATGAAAGGTCTACCTACATTGGTATCTTGGAAAATTACATTTCGACGAAACTGTGGTCTTACCTATAAAGTTTATCTCAACTGTTACTTTTAGAAATGAATCCCGTTACCCCGATAAACATGAAGATATCAGTCATCCATGTAAAATTTATTTTCAGAATCGGAGTACTCGAACTGGTAATATTTTCTAGTTAGCGTTATGGAAGCAAATTTATTTTCCCAGTATTTTATAAAAAGCCAGTTCTAAACATTGTGATAACTAATACTGACAATAAATTTGATCGAATCCTGGTCGTACGTGGAGACAGTCGGTGTCGGGAGTCGTTTCATCCAAATACGCTGCGAATGAGCGTTCTGAAGAGATTTTTCTCGATATGGGCAAGATTACTCGCGAGACCAAACCTACTTCTTGCTGAATAGGAAGACCGCCGTGTTATATATACAAGGCTCCGATTTCCGTAGGATTTGACTAAAAACAAAATGGGTACTTTTAATTAGCACAATAGTTACCTGTTAAGTTTCCAAGAAGCCTGCTCACTTGTGCCCTGTCATTGAGAAGCGCTGCCCTTTCATTGTCAGACGTTGAGCGATTTAACAGATCGCTGAGCAGTTGATGCGCTTCATTGTACAAACCAGCTTCGGCAACAGCTACCGCCCGAGCCTCTTCATCAAAAGGAGTCCATGCATCTTCTGCAGAATCCTCCTCATGGATCTGTAAAGTTTGAGAAATCACTAATCAGTTCTTTCTTAGCACGATTAATGGATTACCAAAATAATGCAACAAGCACAGATGTGAATGATCGTTGTCAGAAGTCGACCAGTATAGCTAGCGAGCGATTGGCTCGATGCGACCATCAGCTTACATCGCATGAACTACGTGACTAGATGAAAAAAGCAATTACTACGTTATCAGCTTCCCACATATTTAGCACCCAGATGTAATTTGATAAATCTGCGTTGAACACTGTATTCCAATGAAAGTAAAGTAACAGCGTTGACGCTGTGAAATAATGAATCCATGAGTAAGTAAGGCGGGTCACATCAAGGTTTACAAGCAACTAGGATTCATATGTGCTTTTATTAGTAGACAAAAATAACCTCATTTCTAACCTGTTTTTTTTTCTCTTTTACAGACATTTTCTATTAATAGAATCGCGCCTCCACCAGGGACTGAACAGCGAAAGTACACTGAGTTGAATTCATTGTTCGGCTTGCGTTGAAATTGTATCGCCTACTTAAGCTGCATTGATGTAAAGTGAGATTGTAATGTAGTGCCCCAAGTACCCTGCAGAACTTTACAAGCGTTTATGGAAGCCAACAGTTCTAATGTACCCAAATTCTGTTTGTCCTTTGCATTGCAATAGAATAATAACTCTCGCAACGTAGTCTCTCCTTCAAGAGTATACGTACTTTGCTACGCTAAACACAAGCTGTTCGCCGTATTTTGATGTCCGCGATGTGAAAACTAGCAGCATTTCTCGTGTACTTACATGTGTGAAGCTACTAGTTGACTATTTCAGAACAAACATCGAAAATAGGTATTGAGCCGTTTTGCGATAGGCTAACTCCGTCTTACACAACCCTGCTGTTCTAACACACATTCTTAATGGGGACCGTTCTTGCGTTGCGCATAGTGGGCAAGGAGAGCCTTCTTTCGGGTCTTGATTATTATGCACACTATTTTATGCTTCACCTGTTGGAAAATTGAACTAGCCCCTCCTCGTTTTATAAGTTGACGATACTGAGGACGTATTAGCGAGAAAATGTAGGTAAATACGACAAAAGTGTACCCGACTCATATGCAGAGTAAATAAACAAATACAATTACTAAAATAGAGACTTTGTCTAGCTTCGAACTTACCTACATTCGGTAAAATATGCAATATGAACAAGACAGAACAAGGGTTTCAAGTTGCACACACGTCTCTTTCTTCCAGAAAGTATTTGCACTCACCTCAACAGGGACTTCGGCTAATAACGGATTGAACAGGGCCTCTAGAACAGCTTGGTCATTGGGGCAAGACATTTTGTTGAAAATCTGTAGCTTCTGGCTTACTTAACTTTTTCTGGTTTACACCCTTTTAGGTACCCGTATCGGCAATAAACTCCAGTGATGCTAATGCAATTCGCGCTATTCGCATGCATTTGGTGGTAACAAAAAATACCAGAATATCTCTACAACACGTCCTCACCTTCCAGATAACTTTCGTAATTCGCTCACCCAGATGCCGCACATCGATAAGGGAAATCAAGATCACCACCGCTAGGATGACGCTGTGACCCTCTTTTTTACCCTCGACTGAGACGCGACTTGAGATACAAACGAAACACAATTATAACGATATGTAATTAAAAGTTAAGAAAATGAAGCAGTTATCGGAGATACAATATCAAGCAAAAAAGTGAATTCTTTTTTAATGAATATAGTTTCTATGAATCGTGTAGAAAATAACAACTAACACTGGTAAAAAATGTACATTATTTTTTTTTAGAGAAAAAGAAAAATGAAGACATTCTCCATTTCATATCACCGAAGGCCTAAGTGAAGCTCAGATGAATAAGTACTTGATTCCAATTACTCAAAGGGTACAGTGATAACGCTATTTAATTTCCACAAATGAGTGAAGAATATCGAAATATAGGCAACGTATCGGCAGCCATACCTAAAAATAATTTAATGTAACTCGTAATAAGATGGTCAATTCGCAGAGTTATTTTAAGCAGCTGAATGAAGTGTAGCTTCAGTGCAGATTGTCCTTGCTGAATAACTACTATTTGAGTTTAGCGCTGTAGGCTTCTTCACGATCACTTTGCCATTAGGTATGATTCTGACGAAGCACCCCAAGCCTTTTATTACTTATAAATCTGTAGTGCGACAAATTTTTTGAATAACAAAATACGTTTTAATTCGAACTTCATCAAGTAGTTAGTCAAAGTATTGTATGTCTTTATTTAACTTCACATGCAAAAAGCGAGAACGTTCCATTTGTATGCAATCAGAATGTACCATATAAATATTTGGTTGGAGATGCCTCGATGAGAGATGATTGTGCGTGAAGCAAGTGAAAAACCGAGCCCTTTTCACTCTCGTATTTCGTGTCTTTTCAACCTTGACTCTATTTTTCAAATTGTCCTTACTGCCGTACACTATTAAGTTGAGAAACTGCCAGTTTATGTCGTGTTTTTCAAAAGAGGTTCGATACCAAGTAGGTACAAGAAAATGTGTTCACATTATATAGATAATAGATCGAATTATAGGGTTGACTACGGGAACTGCCTTGGGAACGGGCTCCTCAAAACAGTTTTCTCCCAGAACCTTCTAACAAGATCTTCAACTCAAAGTCATTGTCATTTTATTCATGAGAACTAGAAATGCAAATGCGCTTTAAAAATAGAACTAACTTCATTACGTGTTAAGGCATCCTCTGATTCAATGATGCAGCCTGTTAGTTTTTAGAATGTTTGTCATCGAATGTTCGCAGCAAATCCTCTGTTGAACGAAATTCGCATCACGAGTTTCTCAGGCCAAGGGCCCAAAAATAAACCAGTCACGCGAGATATTGCCTGTCGGTAGGGATCATGATGCATCTAGCCAAATACAAAGCTCAGCTTAAATCGCATATTATAAGCGCTGCTTTTATTTTGTTAGTTTGCTTTTGATTATAGCTTCAATTAAGTATTTAATGCGACGGTTATCGTTATCAACTGCGCCTGGCTATCGATGTGTGTTCCCCCTTGACGTGGCCGTTCAAGCCTGTGATAATTCTTTTCGTAGACAAATGCTGTTGGTATCGGCCACGCAATGCGCGATCTCCAAGTCCAGATAGGCCGAAGTCCACAGCAGGGCTTTATCGACAGCAGCACCAACCACAGCAGCATCCAAGGCAGCAAATAGCCAGAAAAACTGTGCTTATAAAAATGACAATTCCTACTTTTAGGACGAGCCATATCGAAAACATTGAATATTTCGTAATCAGTGATCCTGCAACAGGATAGAACAAGTTAAAGGAAACAGGGATCACGTTAGGGCCAAGAAGTAACTCACGCTTTTTGTTAAACCTTAAGACTAACTGCGAAAACTTTATTAAGTTTTTAAAGCGTGCAGGCGGCACAGATTTTCTTCACTTCGGTTTTGTCTACATGCGACAATGCTTACGTAAAAAGTTGCATAGCATGTTCATGTATTATTATCGTTGAATTATTTAACCTTAGCGCTTTTCTCAAGAAAGCCTTAGTTTTCGAAAGCTAAGGCTTTCTTGTATATGTATATATATATATATATATATATAACTCCTATGAAGAGAACTCCTATACTACTATAATATATATATATATATACGCATAGTGCACACAAAGTATGATCTTCTTAAATCTGGCATCCGGTTTTTGCCGGATATTGTTTCTAAACTAACTGGTAAAACAGGCAAAACGGATCTAAGTTAAAACGACAACTTTGACCGTTAAATCTCAAATTTAATGAAAGTAAATAAGACATTGTGCAAATTCGTTTTGAGTAAATTTATATTTTTAGGATACGAAATCCAAAAAATTCTTTATACTTCCCACTACGTCAGCTTTTTGTGGATGGCCAGAGTATGATTTTCAAATCAGTTATTATTTTCTTTTTAATTATTAAATTAAAAAATTAACAAATGTCATCATATACTGTCAATTTATTTTTAATCCCGCTTGCAATCCCTTGTTGTGTTTACTACAAATTACCCAGAGCTGTGGGATAACACTGGAGAGTGAATGCACTGTTGGATAGATAGCTTCTTCGTCCCAAATTTTGCTCGCACAGAAAGTTAGTGCCACCGAACTGCCAAATGTCATCACTGCAGAAACAGCACAACAGTCCACAGAAGTATGGTACTTAGTTCCATAACAAACGTATGAACAAAATGTGCGGATAGCGAGGCTTAAAAGCTGCTGAAATTATTTCTTACATTACCCAATAGGTAAACGATAGTCTCATTTATCAAATACATTTTAACAGAAACTTGTGTCTATATTCCATCTGTATGCAAAGTGTTCTTTACAAGCTTTATGAGGTTAATAAAGTGTAAAAACAAACGTATACCAGGGCTGATACGATATTTAAAAAATCGGAATATATTTTCCAGTAACCTTTAGATCTGTAAAAGCAAGTGGCATAAGCGTGGCTGTATTTTTCCTTGTTGCCAGGATACCATGGCCCCGTACATGACATGGTAAATGCCGAAACCTATGCGAAGCATCTGGCTGAAACTCTCCACTGTACAGTAGTCTTTTCGTTCTTCCCTGAAACGTCCAACTATCGTTGCCGCTTTGCCCGAAAGAGTTAGATGGTCTTCAGTTGTATGATCGAAGTATAGTCCGAGCCTATTTTTTAGGCCCCGTTTTTAAGACCATCAGTCGAAAAATGTATGCATTATAAATTCTGACAACTTGAATGGCTGGAGATTGATTTGATCGCCAATGCAGAATGTCAGTCACAGAAAAGGCTAGTGCACCACGGCAGTTCAGAGGTTTTAACAATTAGCTCCTCGTCCCTCATAAATCACTTTACGGAGATGCTTGCGTCAAGGAATACGATACGGCAGCGCGGTTTTCGCCGCCGTATGAAAAGAGGGGATCTCAATGTGACGCGGTACCATTCAACAAGGTCTCATGGTGCGGGAACTGATATAAAGTCCTGCGAGTCTGCTCAATAAGAAAGGGATCAGTTCAGATGAAGTTTGAAACAGGCATTTTAAACCGTCATTTTGCACCGTCGTCAAAAGCACCGTCGTTCTCGCCATTGGGCCGGACAGCACCATTTAATAGATGTCTACGTAGTAGTACACTCCCAGCCGGAGGTGCTACTCTGTTATTGATTTCTAAAGGGTAATATAATTGCGTTGTTATCATGAGGCGGGACAACGAGGAAAAGTGGTATAAGCTGCTTTCCCGCTTGCGGATAAGAGATTCAGCGATTACTTGGGACGAGTACACATTTAACTTAACAAAGCAACATGAGTTCTAAAAAAAGCGCTCCACAGAAAAAATGTGTATGCTCATTGTGGATGACGTCAAGAGAGCGTGGACAACGTCACGCACTCCGCTATTTGCGGTGTTCGTCGACATCAAGGCAGCCTTCGACTTGGCATTCAAAGACAAGGCTTTTCTCACGCTAGCCAAGGTAGATTTTTTCATGAATATGTTCAAGCTACTCGTCTACATAATAAGAAAGTAGTCATCAATGAAAAAGCAAACAAGCTCTCGCCCTTCACATAGACAACCGCGCTGACTCACTGTTCTTCTCTATCTTGCTGAAAGTCCTTCCTGATAAAAATAAAACGGCTGAGCGAATTTGTCACCCTTTATGCAGGCGATTTATGGTCAAACAGGTTCCGAGTGCAACATGCTCTAGCCCGCCCCCACGCAGATATGTGACTAACCATAAACCTGACTCAGATGAAGATATTAAGTTTTTAAAAAAGGCAAGGACAGCGGTGACTGACATTTTAGGGATCGTAATGTATGGGATACGCGTCATTTGGGAAAAGCTTAAATTAAATCGCTTCGAAGCTTCGTTCCTCCAAAGAGTACTTGGGCTACATAGGGAACGAAAACCGCGTGGTGTCTCTCAGCCGAGTCGCCACCGCTGCACGAAGACCTTCGTCGTCGCTCTGTCAACGGAAGCTTTCAAGATGGACTTAAGAAACTAAGAGTAAAAATTCGCAGAGATTGATGGGAATTTCTTTGCTTCGAGTACGATGAGGAACAACAAGTGAAAAAAGACGAACCGTTTAAATAGACATGTTATTGCTTTGCCGTGCATGGATTCCACCGAACTCTGCAGTTTCCACGAGCCTGACGATGCATGTACATGCTCCACATGAGGAGAAATCGTGACTGAGATCATGTTGTTTAGTACCTCGAAGTATCATTTAGGACATCTGGTAAATCTCAAATTAATTTTATAAATCCAACCAGACTTGTATATATTATATGACGCAAATTGTTTTAATCGTGTGCAAACTCTTTCTGATATTGGGATATCAAGGTCCTATACTTTTTTTTTACTACTACTAGCGGAGATGAATAAAATTTGATTGACACCATGACTTGCGATGGTCTAATATTGAAATGAAAAAATGGTTTGAATGATAAAACCGTCTCACTTGCCTTCCAATACACAGCGAGGATCTTCTTTCGCCCACTCTCGGAACTGCGGGAATGAGTGCGCCACCTTGATCTCATGACCCGTCGCGTTGTGGTAAGTGCAGGTGAGGATTGCGGCATAACCTGACCCCGTAGCTTTACGCAGACATAATCATTACTAATACACCACCATTTTTGCATATCGCTGTTATTCCGTTAGGAAAAAGTTTCCTCTTACGTAATCATTACGTCAACCCAACCATATATCTATTGTCTTTACGCCTTTTTACAGAAAATACTACCGAGTGTTCCATTGTGCTAATAAAACTCGATAGCCAACATCAGGTGAGTGAATCGTTACTGTGCTCCATATCTCATTGCATAAAACAAATTTCTGTTTGTTGATTCATGGACTGTCCGGCCCACAATCCGCATGAATCGTCTGCATAAACCTATGTGAAGGGCCGTACAACCCGAATAGTCGACCCGTACCTTTGGCATATTTAGCCAGAACAAATAGCACATTATTTCTATGAAACGTTTAACGTAGTAGCGTTGAAAACCATAAGTCAAAGACATTTTAATGCTAACCTTGTAAACCGCAGCGCGCCGTGGTGATACTGGCGGATTCCACCGTGGGCTGGGAGTCCAAGTTTTGGATTTGCGGCACCGATGGGCATTTTTCTATACAAAAAGCGTTTTTATGAATACTAAGCTCAACAACGCCGATGCGAGTAACCAATTCATAAAGACCGCCGTATTCTGTGGACATATTAAAGTAAAAACAAAGCTTACTTTAGCTAACAGTAACATCCGATAAATGTCGATTTGAAAAGCGTTTATTCGGAGTTTTCAATATTGAAGTTTTGTCCACGGATCCGTCAACTGGAAAATTTTCAGCGAGGCTTTCAGCCATTCAGATATTAGTGATGTGCTTGTATTTGGATCAACGTTGTTATGCATTAGAAGGCGGCCATAATGTCCATTTTCAGAGAGAAAAATGTATTTGCCACTTTAGTATTCACCACACACAAACACGTTTCAAAAACCTCGCTAATTATTGCATTACCTATTCTTTACTAAGTCATATACTTTAGTGTTTACGGTTTTTCAAAAATGTCGAGATTATCAATCACAAGAGAAGTTTCATTCAGAAGTAACTGGTTAAGGTTAACGCGTGACTTAATATCTGATTAAAGAGATTTCTTCATTTTGAAGATGAAAGAAGTATCGCAGGTCGTAATTAATCTCCATGTTAAGTGGGCAACGAAGTAAAGACGCAGCCTTTAGTCAGATTTACTTAACGCAATATACGTGCTGTGACGTCATTACGTCTCTACAAGAGACAGCGTATATTCGTAAGCGCAATATTCAGTCTGTAGATAAATTTAGGTGCCATTGACCACATTTAGCCCCTGTCGAGTGGCTAAAACAAATTGTAAAAACGCACTGATTTAATTTCAAAAGCGGACATTGTTTATATCCCCCGCACAACGCTAATTACCCCTTCGCCCTCAATTTCTTCCACCAGTGTGTGACCAAGACATCTTCAAACGTGTGTATTGACTTGAACGTGGGCCATCAGAGAAAGTAGTTCGCGTATCTGAGGCTGCTCTTTAGTTCGTCTGCTGAAGCTTACCGGAGGCATTTAGTTACACAATAATGTAAACAAGATGGCTTCCAAGATCAAGTCAAGCTTTACTTCGCTAACAATGTATATATATATATTATATATATATATATATATATATATATATATATATATATATCTGATTTCTAATATTTAATATAATTTATTACACAAGCGAAGCGCTTAAGGGCAAGCGCGGTCAGATGCATGTAAAATGTTTAATTTTCACAACGGGTAAGTTATGGGAAAATTATAAGAACTTTTCAAAATGTAATCCTCTCATCCGCAAACAGAGATACCCATCACATATGCCATGTGGCAACATCGCAGAAAATAATAATATACATTTGTTTGTTTGTTATAGAGACCCACTTGAACAGTTCGAAGTGTCGCTAAATTGCAGAAGCGCCGCCGCTGCCGGGAGAAGAAAGCCAAGGAGCAGCATTTTTGGCAAAAATTACTGACTTCTGTCGAGCTTCGTCGTTTCGATATATTCACATAAGATATGTACATATTTTACCAAAGCAAAAGTTAGGTACTATGCTCAACCATACGAAGCACTATCATATTGGCGTTTGAGTATCAATGAATTTCTTTGACCTCACAGTACTAGCCATTATCATATTTCTGCAACTGGCAGTATTGCCCAATATGTTGGGAAGACCGATCTTGTACGATACTTTAAACAGAGCAGAGTGTGAAGATATTAGCATTGATCGGATATAGATGGGTGATGCGCTTGTGTTGTTGTATATTGCTTATATACAGTCTAAGTTGGACAACAACCTCGGAGCTCAGGCTTGCGAGGCTGATTCGAAGCACGTCGTTATAAATAGCTCTCATAATTAGAATGAGTTATATCTTTGCCATACATATATTTGTTGTATAAGTGCTTTTTTGGCAATATTTTTTTACCTATTCGTTGCTCTTAACTGCTACAAGACAGAATACCTAATATATTCTATTACCTAATAGATTGATTTTATTATTGTATTTTTAAGTAGGATACATTTATTTATTATACATTCCGCGATGATTCGGAGGTTATCGTCATCACTAAGTTAGTTCCATCACTTCAAATACCCAATTTTTCTTTTCTTCTATCATCGAAATAGATTTGCCAGTTATTGACGCATTCAATTAGTGTAACGGCTACTGTTCTCATCTGCCTCGTCTGTTCATGCAGCTTTGTCGACGACATAACTTATTCAGGTAAAGTTGCCGAATATTACAGCTACGATGGGAGATATTTTCGCGCGAAACTTGAAATTCATACTACAGCGAGCATACATTCATCGTGTAATTGACGACACAACAAACAAACATTTGCTCACGGATTAGACAGAAATAACATGCGTTATACACCATATGCATTGATATCATTTAATTTATTAGACAAACATTCGACAAGCTAAAATTCTTGAAATGTTCATTTATCTACTACATTTCCAGTAATAGTAATCATAGTGAACTACCACGACCCCTCTGCTTATCAATCTAGAAGTTACGTTTTATAACGTGAGGAAGCCGTTGTTCCGAGTATGCTACGTACGTGTAATTCATTACTCAGTACGTTTAATTAATCAGAGATCGCCAAACAAACATAATTAAATAGCCACTGAAAATTCAATGCTTAATCTGAGCATTCTCTACTCGGTAGTGCACTCGTTTGACACGAATACCTATTTCTCTGCATTTTTAGAAATTCATTTTTATCAGCTACCGCTTCTCGATTTCAACTTAATGTATAGTACACTGCGCAGCCAGCCGTTGCTTAAAATGAGTGTTAAACAGGTTTATTACTACCTTGCATGTAACAAATGCGTATCGCTTATACTTGGAAATATTTTCAACGACGCTAGAAATTTAAAAAGATAAATTTGTTACCTCAGAAAGTTGCCGAAAATTGCCAAAAATCCTATATGGTTTGTAGATTAAATAGTAATTGGTGAACGGTCTAGCCAAACTAATTCGGCTATCGACAACGGATTAAAGCTTTGATTTCAACAACGATTTTGTTAGGTCTGTATCATTGCTATCACAAAAAGCGCGCCAATACACTTATATCTATATGTATTCGTGTCTACTGAAGTTTGATGTAGCTTCTTTATATATTTTACCTTTATTTTGCTAGTTCGCCTGGGTTACAGGGATGTTGATGGAAGAAAATTCGATCGTAGCGACACTTCTTAGTGAATCAAATAAGTTCATTTCAGCTGCTGATCTAACACAGTTAATGTTCGCTAATAAAGAAACGCTGAGCCTATATCGCAACTAAGGGCTACTTTTATGACTAGACTTTAAGTACTCAACGAGGTTCGTCTTGAATTATTTAACGGTAGTTCATTTCATACAATGCTACCTCAATTTAATCGTTAGCTTGATCAAGGAACGTATACAAACTTTCTCCACGTAAAAAGGGGCAAAACGCAAACGTAAAAACGACGTACATAACTTAAAAGCATATAGATTTGAAGAGGTACTGATAAAATTTAGGTGAGGAGCGATAAGCAGTTAGCTCTAGGCATCATTGCAATATTAGATTAGAGTATTAAAACCACAGGATCTTATTTAATGGGTTTATTCCTTAATCCAGGTAGTCTGAATGAACACTTAATGAATACAATTTTGTTATTAATGAATACCAGAGAGTCCCTTGAAGTCACGTTTTCCTACGGCGTCACCAGTTCAGCTCAGTCGTATGCCTTATATTCCTGAAGAACTGAGACGAAGTGTCGCAATCGCCATTCGATTTTGCAGACGAGCAATCTGTTACTCTATGTTCACTTGTAGCGCTTAATAGATGTATGGTAATTCTAATTTGAAATAATTAGTATTACTACGCGGTATATGTTGACCAAAACGACTTCAAGACATTAAAATTTAATATCTCCAAAATATTAGCTAAATAATAGGAAAATATCATGTTCCGTTGTACAATAATTCCAAAACTCTGAAAGCTGCAACATACAGTTTTCTTAGCTTTGTCTGCCCTATTATTATACTATCTTGTATCTGCTTATTATTTATAATATTATATTATTATATATAATATTAATTATTATTATTAGTAGTAATTATTATATATAATATTATATTATTATTATACTCTGTGGAATATATAATTTTTATTTTTTCCTTCATTAATTAATTATTCCGAATGCTCCTCTGCACTTAGTCGAAGTTCTTTTTTCCTTTTTGCACTATAAGTAGTCCCTTGAAGGGACTACTTGTTACACAATGTATAAAACACTAGCATCATATCTGAAAATCTGATTTAGTTTTCTTATTCTTTGATAAAACTCAAGGTGCAGGTATTAATAAAGTCTGCAACAAAAAGCTTCTACGTGCATGGGAGAATAAACTAAATAATGAATAACGAAGCTTACAACATAAGTAAAATAAGGAATGCGACAAGGCTGGGGCCACTAACATCCAGTATACTGAAAACGCAATCATGGTATGCCTACTAAAAAAAAACATGAATTTGGTTAATTCTCTAATTCATCATCGTTTTTCAGCTAAACGTGCATTTACACGAGCAATCGGGAGAAGCCCTAGTTGCGAGGATGCTTACTGCAGCTATAGCTGCTGCCGTATGGCACGTGGTGGGAAAGCGGTTCATTTTTTAGAGGATTTTCTCACTTATTCCGTGATGCTAACATGTACCACTTAGTGCACAAGGGAGTGGCCTTTTGGATTTGTAATATGTGATCTATAAAATATGAGTAACCGTGTGCCTATGATAAGGAAAATAAAACGCTCGAAGCGGTAGTCTTTTTCCGGAAGGTAGCCAATCATCTCGGTAAGCCGCCTTATCATTGATAAATCATAATGCATCTACATGACATGCTACAAATTTAATTCGTTATCAAGTATCTTGTACAAGTACGGCCTGTAACATAAAACTGGCTCGTATTAAAATCAATTTTCGGTTTAAAATATTGTGTAATATTAAGCAAAAAAAAAATTAGAAACAAAGTAAACAAATGTAAAGGGATGCACCTCTCATCTAACCGAAATTCACTCGATTAAGCAATCCATACATTGATCGTCGTTTTGATAGTTCGCCGTTTAAAGCCAAGCTTTTTTCAAGTACTTTGCTAATGATTTTTAATTTATATTGGCTATAGCTGAACCATAATAAGATTATACCAACGGCCAGTTCTTTATAATTATCATTTTTACTTCTATTAATTTTAATAACTTTGACAGATAACTCTGATTCAAATGCGATATAGTAAATGAACATGGTTTCTATTGATCGATTTCTATAGTAATTCATCCCCACAGAAACATGTCTTGTACCTTAAGCAATGAAGCTACAAAATGAATTGTCAAAAATTACGTTAGGTTAATGGTTGCACTGCAACACGTTTGCACACCTGAAAATTGTTGATTTTAGTAATGTTCATTAATTTACTAGTAAATCTTTTCAAGTAGTTGGATCATTTTTAACTTCATGTCAGACACTTTCTAAAACAATTAATAAAATTAATCACACTTTAATTTTTTATTTTTAATTAAACAAAAACCATGAGTCACACTTTTACATGCTTTCATCACTGATACGCCATTTTACTCAAAGGCAGTTTTATCTCTTACGCATTTTTATTAAGATAAACATAGGTTAGCGAATTGCCTATCTTACGTGAATATCTTTAAAATTATGAAATATAAGGAAAGACTTCATGATACATAGGTAGCGGTTATTAACCGAATCAGGTAAAGCTTCCAGCTTGAAGCATCGTTAGATAGCGGTACCGAGCGTAAAACTCAAAATACTTATTTATTACGTGCAGCAGTTTCCATACAGTTTTATATGTCAAAACTGTACAACGCACTAGAGCGGTTCGAAATATCTAAAAGATAAGAAAAAGAACAGTGATTCAATTGTCAAAATCAACATTCTACAATATGTGCCAAAACGCTGCGGGTGACAGTACAACGACCCTTAACCGTACGCACGTTTATATGAAACAGTTGATCAACTAACAGAACAACGCATTTTTGGAGGCACGGGGGTCTCGAACCGTAAACAAAAGCTGTGGTCGTCATAACTATAATAAAAATGAAAAAGTTTATGACTAGTAGCTCATAAACATTGTGCTTTTGCAATATTAACATAAGTTTTGTTACTCAGAAGTTCTGTTTGTAACAAGTTGAAAATGAAAGCTGTTGGGATTTGTGGATACACAACAGGGAACTTAGCGTGGTATTAGCCTCGATATCAAATATTCAATAACGCAAATGTATAATCTAAAAGATTGTAAACTTAATGAGTCATGTAGACGAAACACTGTCCTCCCGGGTCCCTATAATGGAGCACGGTTCGAAACAACCAAAACTGCCGCAGAACGATTGCCCTCATAGATAGGCTAAGGGACTTCACGAGACAGTTGTGCATGGTAGAATAACGGTACACGATTCGCAAAGAAATTCCTGACAGCAAAAAGGTAAGTACTCACGGCATGACCCGTCGTACTAATAGATAAGAACCCCAGGAACTTGGAAGGTACTAGCCTTCTCCACAGAATCTGTAGTATTAGTTAAGCAAAGAGTAATAATTAACTAAAGAACGCTTCCCTTAAAGTTCTTAAGAAAATGAAAAAGCCAAGGCAATTTAGGAATAGTGCGTACATACAACCTGTTTTATACAACAGACGAAATGAAAAATATGATCGTTCTTTTACATAAAACAAAATAGGAGAATGGATCGCAACTATTTCTCATGTACTGTCTTAGAAAGTACTGTAAACTTTTTTTTTTATGACAAAGCGATAAAATTGAGCTTTTGTGTCCTAGGGATAAGTCCTAGAGTTCTAATTCAATCGAAACGAGTTTCAATTGACGGGTGGACGGCATATAATAATTAGTATACGTCAGTGCATAATGAAATGTATAACAGTGCATATATAACGAAATTGCACGAGAGATATCTACTTGCAACAACGAATTCGCAACTTCGTCGGCTTCTTTTAAATGCATTGGTTTCT